CATAAAACTCCGTCCGACACTAATAACACGACGAAAAACAACATCAAAACAATACATTTTCTTCCTCATTCGTCCTAGTGTGATAACCCCTTGCATTTTAATCACCCCCTCCACAACCACTATACCACCTAACACCACGACCATCTACCTCACCACATATTAACTATCACCACATTTAAACTACCTGGACATAATTATCACCAATCTCCTTAACTACCACTATTACTCTTACTGTCTCTTGTTAGCATAAGAGTCTCCATGTTTTCAAGTCACTACACTCACCATCACTTCAATCATCACTAATCACCGTACTCCTAAACTCCAATGAAAATACTGTCACTATCATATCACTCGCACCATTTTCACTATACTCATTATCACCACCTCTAGTCCAGACCACCGCTTAATAGTCACCATCACCACTATATTACCATCACCTTACCATAAACACTATCACCACACTACCAGTACTAATCACCATCACTAAATGTCTAGCTCCACTATACTAGGAGGACTATCACCACACTACAGTACTGTCACTATACCACTCAATATTACCATCATGCATCATCACCTAACCACTATCACCATCATCACTACACTTACACTACCACTATTGTATCAGTAGTTCCTTCACCACAATACTATCACCATGTTATTTACACCATTACACCCGCAGTGCTATCACCATGCTTATAAAATAAACATATCACAACAATAATAATATCACCACTATTACCACCATATTAGTAACACCAGAACACTAGTAGCAGCACCATTATACCACTAGACCAACACCATATCTGTTCACAACACCATTAACACGCCATCACACCATTGGCACTACTACCACAAACATCATTTATCACTATTGTCATGTGTACCGGCCGGCCAGCAGCACCATCACACCATCATCACCGCCTCACCAACACTATCAACAAGACGTAGCCTAGAACGCGTTGAAGTCACCACACGATGGTTGTCAAGTCGTTCACTCATTATGTTGTGTGTTTTTATTGTCAACCCTGAAGATGAAGAACCCCGATTGCTTCAGGTGTAAACAATGTCTTTTTTTCCCGAGGAGACAACCGCTATCGTTGCTCCCGCTTTTTTTTTTTTTTTACACTGGTGCAGCCGAGTTGTGCAAGAGTCGACAACGTTACATACAGAGCTTGAGAAAGTCATGTTATATATGTTAAGAAGAGAACCATTACTCGGATTAACATACGTGCCGTTATAAACATAAACTCGAGGCAAATAAAAAAAAGATGGCACTGTTGATACGCGGTGAGGGAGGAGCCTGCACGGCGCTGAGGTAAAGTGTATCAAGCACTTCCCGAGGGCGCAAGTGCGCAGTACTGGCGGCGTGACGCACAACCTGCCACCTCACTACTGACGAAGATACACAACACTCACACTCCGGTAGGATCATCATGCCCAGGACAGCGTGTTCCTTGGCGGCGGCTTCTGTGACAGCATTGTAGTCGTGGTGGTGGTGTCGCTGTTGTTGAGGCTGCAGGTCCAGCTCACACGAGGTCACCATGTTGCGGGGTGGTGGTGGTCAGGTCACACAGGGGGCACAGCGACAGTGTTGAGGGGCGGCGACAGGCACTCGAGAGAACTGCCTCACCGGGCACAGCAAAAACCAGCGTGCGTACACCTCGACCCGTAGTCAGGTAGTGAGTGTGGGGTTGGGTCCACAGTCCTGGCTGCCTCGCCCTCCCCCGACCCGACCCACCCCACCCTTACCCCAGCCCAGCCACCTCGCTGCCCAGACACTCTCCATCCAGGGACACACACACACACACACGTACACACACATGTGCACGCACAAACATACACAAATGTATGCATATACATCCATCTAAACGTACATATACAGACGGAAATTTTCATTCGTACACACATTTATATTCATATTGAAATATAAACACACATGTACGTCCATGCGCGAATAAATATGTACACATGCACACAAACGCACGCACGTAAATAGTCACAGACAAATAAGTGAACGCGCGCGCAAATACACATACAAATTCATAACATATATTAAGTTGTACGTATGCATCCATGCAAGCACAAATATTCTAACACTCGTATACATATATAGTAGACATAAGCAAATAAGCAAACACGTGTACATGCACTCAGATGATGTAACATCACACACACAAACACAAGTCTTTCCACACATGTATGGATACACACATTCACGAAAAATGTAATCAAGTATACGCCCATGAACACATATACAAAAAAAATATATATTCACATCACGACTTCGATTTCTGCACTCGACTGAACTTACCCTCTTACCTAATACCTTACTTATGACCACGGCGTTTAGATCACCATCCTCAATGAAATAATTATCCTTAAAAATATTAATCTATCATCCTTAAAGGTAGTAAATCAATCGACAATTTGTTTACACTTCCTTTAAATCCATCCACGACACATTTAACCTTCCGTCCCATATACTGTATTTACCTTATTCTCACAGGTTGGTTTGGCGTGGGCTGTTTCCCCCTTTACAACGAGCTTAAAAGTAAACACACAAGTCCGACCTTAATGACCCGAGAATACGCGAATGGTGGCGCAGTCACTAGCAAGGGAGGGTGGACAACAAGCACAGTGGGAAATATGAAGGCCAACGTGAGGCAGGGCTGTACAAGGCAACCTAACAGATCTTCATATGTAACGTGAGAGTCGACACAGTTGTACCATTTTTGATACTCCCTCCCGTCACCTCACTGACTCGACCAATCACGTAATGTTATATTTTCATGAGTTTTTTTCAAAGATGTATACTAATGTATTTTGTTTATTCCATGACATAATAAGATATGAATAGAATTTGTTTCTCTTAATAAACAATACACGCAAACAAACTCAGGGAGAAGAAAACAGAAACGAATCGTACGTCAGACAGCATCGTCAAAGGCTCACACGAAAGGGGTAACTCCCGTTGACACGCGGTAAAAAAAATGTGATCGATTTTCTTTTTTTTTATTATCTATTACTCTCAGGTCATCTATTTCTATATCGAGATGATCATAATGAAGAGGGGAGGCTGTTTGAGGTAGGACATAGGTGGAAGAGCATCACGGGGCGGCTGGAAGAGGCTGGGGACAACCCTACCGACAAAGGCTGGCTGGGGGCACACTGCCGACGACTACTGGTGAGGCCCACGTGTTGGCCTCTCCACACCTTCCCTACCTACACCCCTATCTCTCCTTCTTTCTCTTTTTCTCTCACGTCTATCTACACCCTATCTCTATCTCTCTCTCTCTCTCCTGACTACGCCATTATCTCTCTGTTTCGTCTGCCTACACCCTCTCTCTCTCTCTCTCTCTCTCTCTCTCTCTCTCTCTCTCTATCTCTTCTCTCTGTCATTCACTCTGTTTCTTTTGGGATTAACACCGGGAGCATCCAAACAATAACAAACACGTTAACAACGAAATTCCATGAGTAGGATTTATTCTAAGTTCTTCAATCAAGTTTATTCCAATCCCAGACCAGATGAGATGAAACAGTTGCGTAAAAGTGATGACAAATTTGTTGGGGGTCGTATTGAATATTGTCTCGTATGGCCAGTGAGGAAACTTACGCACCAGACACTTGGTTTATTGACGCTGATAGTCTCTGTTTCCGGACTGATGCCGCGACCCACCGGAACAGCAGCCATCTCTCCATTGTGGTCACTCACCTTTGGATCGGGGTGGAAGAAGGAAAGGGAGGGAGGGAGGAAAGGAAGGAGGTAGGGAGGAAGGAAGGAAGGGAGGGAGAGATGGAGGTAGGGAGGGAGGGACGGAGGGGGGGAGGAAGGAAGGAAGGAAGGAAGGGGAGGAAAATACGAGATAAACGATGGACACATAATTACAAATGTTGAATAAATGAAAAGGCGTCTGGGAGCTTTATAATACACTGCTGGATTAGTTATTAATGTGTGCTTAGTGAGACTTAACATTGAACTGTACTTAATAAACAAAATTACTAAAGTACATTGAGAAGAGAGGATGGGAGAATTGAAGACCTGAAGAAGAATATAAAATAAAGGGGTACTAATGTGAGTGGAGGTAAGGAAGAAGTGACGGTGGATGAGGAGGAAGTGACAGTGGATGAGGAGGAGGAGGAGGTGACAGTGGATGAGGTGGAAGTGATTGCGAAGATGAAAGAGGAGGAGAAAGTGACGGTGGGGGAGGAAGTGACGGTGGAAGAGGAGGAAGAAGTGGAAGAGAAAGAAGTGACGGTGGTGGAAGAGGAGGAAGTGACAGTGGATGAAGAGAAAGTTAAGATGGAGGAGGAGACGTATCAAAACTCAACTTTAAGAGACCAATCAAAACAAGACAAAAGCCACACCTACAATACTACTCCACTCTTCCCTGCTTCCTCCTCGACCTCAGCTGCTTCTCGTCTGGTTTACAGAATTAAAATCCAACGACATCACAAACCCGCCATCATGCCTTGAGTATACAGTATAAAATGACGATGTCGAGTACACACCAGATAGGCCTATACAGAATACAGACTGGAACCTATCAACCGTATATACAGTTTCAGACATGATACATTAGAAGTTGGACTCCCTGAAGACCTATCGTGACTCAAGACAAGGTTCAAATCCTAAGCACTAGATAACGGTGGTTCCCAAAACCTGTTGTTCCTAGTCGACGTAGGAAAGACCTCGAACTGAAGGCTCCTGGCTGCCCTGAGCTTCGCTAACCCTGACTATGACACACACACACGCGGTGATACCCGATACTCCAGCTAAGTCTTCCATCGGTTAAAGAAATATCGAAGCATCTCGATTTTAATCTCACGATTTCTTGCCTGAATTCAGACTTCCTGTCAGGTAACATTACCTACCCTAAGAGCGCTTGACTAACGAGGCTGTTGACTAATTGCTTTATAAAGCCTTTAAACCACCTTCAAATAGCTAGCTTCCTTAACGAGCTGAGAGCCATCAACAAACTCACAAGCCTTAACTAGCTTACCTTTATGCATGGGTGACGAGGAGTTATGTTGGTCGGGTGTGACGTTCATTTTGCTCTGTAAAGACAGAAAAAAAAGATAAATTAATAAAAATGTTTTCACCTTCAGAACTACAGCACCCCCTCACCCCTTCCTTGACCCTCCTCCTCCTCGACTCTCTGGTTGCAGAGTAACTGTGGGTAAAGGATGAGGCTGTTGTTTAGGGTTAGTGGTGTGGGTGGGGCGGGTGGGTGGGTCAGAGGCTCTCAGCCGTGAGTATCGGCAGCTTGGTGGACGTGGGTGGTGTGCTCTCCAGTTCTACTCCACTGAACACAACACACACCCAAGCCACCAGATTCCTCTACTCCACCCATCCACCCAAACCAAATTAACAATCAAAAACTTCCCTCCTTCTATTGTGGGTAAGACAGTGAGGCGTGTTAAGGGTTAAAACGAGTGAACATCGGCCCAGGGTGATGCCAATCGTCTATTTGTCTCAGGAAGGATCAGATTTCAGATTCGAATTCCCATTTTGATGAGGATTAATAGGTGTTTATAACCTTCCCAGGCTGGACCTCTTTAGGCCTATGTGTGAATAAACTCATAAAGTGTGTGTGTGTGTGTGTGTGTGTGTGTGTGTGTGTGTGTGTGTGTGTGTGTGTGTGTGTGTGTGTGTGTGTGTGTGTGTGTGTGTGTGTGTGTGTGTGTGTGTGTGTGTGTGTGTGTGTGTGTGTGTGTGTGTGTGTGTGTGCCATATAATGATTCACATACAAGATCTGGGAGAGCACGGACAGGGTGGTGTGATAGTGGTGTAGAATGTGGATGTAGCGGGTATCATGACAGGTGAGCATGACGGATGAGTATCATGGCAGGTGAGTGTGGCGGATGAGTATCATGGCAGGTGAGTGTGACGGATGAGTATCATGATAGGTGAGTGTGACGGATGAGTATCATGATAGGTGAGTGTGGCGGGAGAGTGTGGTGGATGAATATCATGACGGGTGAGTGTGGCAGGTGAATATTATGACAGGTGAGTACGACGGATGAGTATCATGGCAGGAGAGTTAACGGGTGAGTATCATGAGAGGTGAGTATCATGACAGGTGAGTGTGGCGGGTGAGTATCATGACAGGTGAGTGTGGCGGTGTGAGTATCATGAAAGGTGAGTATCATGACAGGTGAGTGTGGCAGGTAAGGGTAGAGACGGGGACACAGCAGGCCCGTTACACAGCCACACAAACACACACACCCCGCAGACCATCACACATCCAAATATCAAGGCAATATAAGAGGGTCAAGCAGGGCGTGGTCGGCGGGCCGCTGCTTGCCTGGCCAGATATGATGAACGATCACCTGAGGGGCTCCAAGCAACCCAGGCACACGGCAAACAACCCAGCTACAGCCTCACACCCCAGCCCACAAGACCACATTACTATCTTGACGGGGCTGGCAATGTTTAGTTATCGTACAATTTCATTTTTTGTTCGTGTTATCTTTCCTGTCTTCCCCACAGTTGCCGGAGACTCAAATTAAATAAAGTCAAGTTCTCGTGTTTGTGGATCGAGAAACTGGTGTGCGTCCCTGGGCAGGGTTGAATGCGTTCAGTGCTTCCAGGTGCGTTTACGCATTGGAAGTTTTTCTCTGGTGAGGTTTCATGGCATAAATCTCACTTTCTAGACCAAAACCAAAGTCTGCCTCGATCCGAACACGTATTAGGAAAACTTCAGACACCGGGATTATGTCAGAGGAGGGCAGCTGCTGAGCATAAGAAAGCGAGGGCAAGTGAGCTGGCTAATAACACCCCATCGAATTAAGAATATGATCTAACATTACTTAACAACCTGGATCAAATGACTTGGTTCAGAGTCCAGAGATCCGTGGGCGGGACCGGGTGTGGTTCCTGATATTTTTTGTCCACAATATTGACATTTTGTCGGCAGTAAAATGGCCACTTTAGGTGTTGACTCGAGGACGTTGAAACCCAGATATGCATCAGCCTTTGCCACCAAGTCAAAGTCACTTAAAAATAGATTCTAAGTATTGCCACCACAATCCAGCGAAAAGTGTGAAGAGATGACTGAAGAAAAACTTGCTGCCACCTAACAGTTAATAACCAGTTACTTAAAAAGGTCACAAATAAAAAAGAAACAAAAAAATATATAAAATGATAAATTATTTATTTATACAAGTGAAGAGCAAGACAAGTAGGTAACTTCCGCAGCGTCACAATCACATCCTGCAGTGCCGGCCCGTGTAAAAAACTAGAAAAAGAGGAAGACAAAAAATGATGTGACAGCAAACTGGCCATTATATCACAGCAACGAGCAACACCGACGCAAGAGATGATTCAGAGGTGGTTGTCATCGCCTGGGAGTGAGTGAGAGGTGGATGGGGGTGTGTGTCGGGCTATGTGAGAGAGAGAGGGAGAGGTGTGTGAGAGTGTGTGTGGGGGAGTTGAGCTTGGTGGCGGATACAGTATGTGGAGCAAGTGACCGGACCAGTTGAAGGCTGAGCGGGTCCCTGGGAGACGGAAGAAATCTAGAAGTATGCTTAGTAGGAGGAGTGTGTTATTGTGGCCGCCATCACCCGTGTCCACCCACCTCAAGGTTCCTCCTGTGCTGTTAATTTACCGCAACTGACGCTCCTCCGACAGTCTGGAGTCTCTCCTTCATGGCTATTGGGTTTTCACTAATATGTTGTACTTTTATTTTTTGTGCTTTATAAGTCAGTCAAACAACTTCAACCTCGTCGACTGTTGTAGTACTCAATATCTACCCGTGTGGAGCATCTTCCTGTGTGGAGTAGCTACCTGTGTAGAGCATCTACCTGTGTAGAGCATCTACCTGTGTAGAGCATCTACCTGTGTGGAGCATTTACTTGTGCGGGGCATCTACCGGTGTGGAGCATCTACCTGTGTGGAGCATCTACCCGTGTGGAGCATCTACCTGTGTAGAGCATCTACCTGTGTGGAGCATTTACTTGTGTGGGGCATCTACCTGTGTGGTTGATGAGATGTACCAAAGTCTCAGCTTCTATCTACCTGTGCGGGTACTCCCAGCTCCCCAGGTAACTAGCTGAGGACAGATTAGAGCCGAGAGACCACAAACGGGTTATCCCAGAGTGGCGTCGGTCCGGCCGGTGGAGGAAGCTAAACTTCCCCAAAACTGGATTCAGACCAGATTGTTATCAACGTCAACATTTTACATAGAATAGCCGTTAAGAGTCTAGAAAAGGCTGTAAGGTACATTAAAACACATGAGACACTTCACCGCCCACTTCATTTCACAACTGAAGTGTGTTTGAAGTGGAGTTTAATCTGTAATGAGTCTTCGAAACACGTACAAAAGAAAAAAAAATAATGGCTTGAAAATCGTAGAATACGTTACGTGGTTCACTTTCATGCACAATAGGGGGGTTAATCCTATTATAAAACGGCGCGAAAGAATAAAGTCTCCTATTAGATTAAGGAAATGTACGCAATAAATCACTCCTAGACGTAAGGCAGCCCAAGGAAAAGTCTCCGTCGTATGATTTACTCTATATCGTAAGACTAACTGACACTGTCGCTCGGCGCACGACTTTGTATATTGTGGTCACTTCTCCGGGGTCCAGCAGGGAGGAGAGAGCCTGAGCGATACGAGACGGGCGCAATAAGTAGAGCAGGTTTGGTGTAGCAAGGCCCATTATTTCACAGGAGCCATGGAAAGGTCAGAGTAGCAAGTTAACCACTCACCTCCAAAGCCTGTGCGTGTGTGGCATTTCTGGCCCAAACCTCAAGGGCGGCGCAAGGACTCGCCACAGCAGTGCACTCTGGTGGCTGGATCGTCCGATATGGTTGCTGTGATCAGCTGATGTTTGTTTACGTTTTGTTGACGATCGTCCAGTGAAGGGAGGGAGGGAGGGGTTGTCTTGTTTTTGTGCATCACCGCTTTGCTATTACAGAGTTAGATGAGTGGTCAGATTATGTTTTGCTCGTAGCATCATGAGAGGCGTAGGATACTGGGGCCATCTACGCCTACATAATTCAGAATTCTTAGAAAGACTAAACTTCACAGTCATTTTAAATTCTGACGTTGAAAAAGTATTTAGTATTCTATATAAAGATCTCTGGGGGGGAACTCCAGGGCGGTGCAACAAGCGACGACAAGAGAGAGCCGGGCAAGTGATGCAGGCAAGCAGTCCTGGGCGGCTGGCGTGGTGCTAGAAGCGATAACTCACCGGTTTATAGTGTCCGTCGCACGGGGATAAATCATGCTCGGGAGGCGTCCAAATTATACACACTGGACCTCTTCTACAGCGCTCCCACCTCAGTGTGCAGGTCGCCCCACAAGGCAATTAAGGAGAAGCCCTGCGTATTACACCCTGTTAGTTGGTCGTGTTGTTGATATGTGGTAATGCTCTCTTGCGGTTATCACTGTAATAAGCGCCCGAGAGTAACTGTACAATTGACCTGCTTTCCTAAGATCACTGTCAATCAATACGTGAAACCAAGTAAGACTACCGTAAACAAAGGACACCAGTATATACTCTATATTCATGGAGAGAAAACTCGGACTGCCACATTATATACGAACATACACAAACACTAACTGGAATGATGAATGAAATATTTACCAAGAGATAGAAAGGCATTTAACTTCATAATTAATGTTTCTAGTGTTACCTTTAGTTCATCAAGACTCCTGTATTAACTCTCGGCCACTACACCTGCTTCACTAATATGTAAATAAAACATACGGAAACACTTAGTAGTTAAGCTTAGGATTACGATCAAGCTGATGACTGGCCTCTAGCGGAGATGAAAAATGGAAACCCCAATTATTTCCGTCAAAACACTGAAATTACACGAGTGGGTCTTAACGAGCATGTAGTGGTTGGTCCCCGGCTCCACCACCACCACCACCACTACCCATCCATCACAACACATAACTGGATGATAGCGTGATACACACCCACTACACTTAACATGATGCCCCCCTATTTGTCTACACCCTCTCCTCTATTTATTTAGAGGTTAAGTGTTATTGATTCAGGAGCTGACTGCTATTAATCTAGCAGAAAAGCTTGCCATTTATCTT